GAGAAACTGATTTACATCCGATTTATAGACAAACACTAAATAAAGAACATTTTCCTCAGTAGCTACGCATCAGCAATGCATTCTATGCCAAACTTTGCGGTTCTTAAAGGGGAATCAAGACACGAGTCGAGCGCCAAACAACAACAAGCAGCCATGTTCGTGTCAGACATCCTTGAGTAACTTGCTCTTTCACCTCGTTCAGCGCATCAGTCTCCACTTTAAATCAACAGATCTTTACTTATTTTGTACAACGAACGTCTTTCTTAAGTTCCTGCTACCATTTCAATCTCAAGCAGGATTTCAAAGTGAACAATTTGGTTCCTATGACTATGCAGCATGGTCGCTGTCACTGGTCGAGTGCTCTTTGAAAAGTCAGCGGTCGCGCATGCTCATGCAAAAAAGACCCCTGTTTACTTTAGTAGGTCATTTCTTTGCGGTCATTCATTATAAATGCAATGTCAGTTCTTTCGATTATTAATGACCATTAATGATAAAAAATAGTGACAGCAACAGAAAGATTTTTTGAAAGAGCTTCTTAGTTTATAGAATAATGACAAATGTAAATTTTGCAGTTACTTTAAATACCCTTTCACTGCCAGAGTGTTTGATGGAGTTTTGTAAGGTGACTCTAACCTTTCAGTCTGTGGACAAAATCCTATGATGTGACCATTCAATTGAAAGCTCTCTGCACTTACACATAGTGCTATTTGTTTTTTAAAATTTCACTGAATGAAATTTGGAGATTATTGTCACGCTTGTCACACAAGGTTCATCTCCCGTCTTGTTGGGTAAGTGAATATGTGCCAACCAACAGCTCGTGAAACAAAAGGTTCTTTTGTCCCAGTGGTTGGCACATTTAATTAACAAGAAGAAAATTTGTTTGTATATAAACCGATTTTGTCCCCTAAATTCTCATAATATTTGGCATAATATATCTCATGCCCAGAGATACCGTTGCCTAGCATACGTGTTTGCTGATGCACATCTTGTTATGGGGGCGGGGAGCATTGCGTGACTCCGGTCCGAGAGGCTGCGAAGGAGACTAGTTACGTACTAGTTAGCCCCGGGCGGTAAACCCATCAGGTGGATAGAGCGAAAAATACGACGAAATGTTACTCAGCTAGCAGTTTCGCCACGGAAACCAAGGTTGTTCCTAGCCTCTCTCTCGAAGGCCTTTTAACGCCACGTTCACATCGATATCGCGGCCCTCCATAGACCTCTATACTCTGCTTTTGTAGAGTGACTTGAGCAAGTCCAAATGCTCCCGACAAATCATAACATAAAAAGTCTTCAATATTCTGAGTTGCTAGGGTACAAGAGACATGTAACACATCATTAAGAAGTAAATATAGACGTTAACAGAAAAAAACTTACCAAAGGATATTCAAAATGATATTTCAGTTGTCTTGGGGCGGATTTCTTGTAAAGAAAACTGGTTATGAAAGCCCAGTTCTGTAAAATAGCACGCGCGAATTAGCAAACTGCATCGTCACGATGATTATTATTTATACATAAGGATTTCGTGAAGTATATTTGAAACTCCTGTCACAGTATGCTAGCTGATTTTCCTACCTCTGAGGTGTTCAAGGTTCCCTCTACAATTTTGTCAGTTTTGGTATATCCGTTTCTGACGCGAAGTAGCGTTATACACACGGTTACTAGCCAATATCGAGCACCTTTCGCCATTATTGATTCTATTTTCCGTTTCACTCAAGCACAAACCGCAATGGGTTAAAATTTAGTCTTGTGTGCTCGATGGCGTGACCTTTCGAGGCAAAAGAATATCCCTTCGGGGAGAGGGTAAGGATTTGTGTTCCCTGCAAATAAATAATTAATGAATGTTCCGTCTGCCTTTTTTGGCGAAATTAAAGTTAACTTGCACTCAATAAACTCTCACCTCACGGAGTCTTCGCTGTTACAGACGCCCTAATATAGCACGAACAACAGCCAAATTCCCGGTAAAACTTAATTGAAATAAACTACCGTTCAGTACACACTAGCGATGCTGTTATAGACATTACACGGACAACTAGGACAATGAGTGCTCACGTAATCCAGATAAGTACCAATACCAATATTTCGAAGAGATGAGCACAACCTCACTTTTATTTTTATTCAACTTTAGATCATTACAATTCATCCAACGACAACTATCACCAACACAGCTTGCAATCCGGTTTTTGATCGAGGAGACAATAATGCTCCCAACCCATAGCCCTTTAGACAAAAGCAAATAACTAGACCAGAATTATTGTGGGGTAAAGGGGTAAGGGATGAAGTACTCCAAATATGGACAGCAGGTCACTTTTCTCTACATATTGGTGTAACAATCCGAAATCTACAAGGGGAGAGGTGATAATCCTCTCTAGGGGGTCATAATCCCCCCAGGATAGTGAGAGGTGATAATCCTCGCCAGGGGGGTGATAATACCCCAGGGAAGTGAGAGGTGATAATCCTCTCTAGGGAGTGATAATCCTCTCTAGGGGGTGATAATCCCCCAAGGTTGAGATTGGAGGTGATAATCCCCCTTGGGTACTAGCGAGGTGGAAAGACCTCTCTAGATGTCTAATTCCCCGGTTTAAGGAGCAACAAGAGTCTATGGGGCAGAGGGTGACCTGTATGCGAGCACTTCAATTCATCCCAAACCCGTGTTTATTAAATTGCCAAAAACTCAATACAGATATGATCAGTAATTTAAGTTATTATTGCGTGCCTGCTGCCCGTCTGGAAAAACCCTCATTTATCTTTGAGGGAAACCTGAACCCTCCTGAAAGCAGAGCCAGACACATAACATGAACCTCGAGGGAGAGAGGTTAGACAAAAATAAATTAATACAAGTTGCAATTGTAAATAAATGAAAACTAAACTTTATCAACTTAGTAATCAAAATATAAGGCCCAAAGCAACTAAGTGCACATGCATGTTGCGATGCCGGCTAAGAATGATTCCCCCTCAGTAGAAACTTCACCCTTTTAATATAGGCATCAACTGTTCGTGTGATAGCTGGCATCTAATTGGCTGAGCGAAACATTAGTGTGACAGGGGTCGTATGCAGGAAGTAACCACTGAAAGCAAGTGAGCTGGCTCGATTACTGGTAAAGGCGGGTCTATGGTCATCACATTAACTTTAATTTATCCTCTTGTATAAATTAGCTCATCGGCATAGCAATGTAAAGCTGAGTATCATCAGCATACAGATGATAACTGAAGATATAATTGTAGCTCCTAGTAACATCACTTATTGGAGATGTATACACGAGGTATAGCACAGGTTCCAAAACAGACCCTTGAAGCACACCAACTGAGAGGACATGCTTACTTGAATATGATTCATTGATTTTGACAAACTGGGTAAGATAGGACTCGAACCTATTAAGTACTGTACCACATGTGCCGCATCGTTGTTAAAGACTTGAAAAGAGCAAGCTATGATTTACCATGTCAAAAGCTGCTAATAGATCCAACAATATCAAAAATACGTTTTCCCCTTTGTCAACAACATGATATCATTATGAACTTTAAGTAATGAGGTCTCAGTGCTGTGAAAAACTTTGCAGGCGAAATAAATTTGAAGTCACATAAATATCAGAAGAACTCAAGTAGTCATTCAACTGGTTAAAAACGGCCTTTTCGATTAACTTTAACACAAACTTGAGGTTGGAGGCAGGTCTATAATTCGCTAAATCCTAGGAACTGGCATTTTGTTTCTTCAACAGTGGTAGGAGTATGGCAGCTTATAGGTCATCAGGCATGTTACCAGTTGCGAGTGATTGGTTCATAATCCTTTTCAAAACTAGCTTTTCCCTGCTAGCCGGGAAAACCAGCGTCCTCCGCAGGAATTTTATTTGGCTCGTCACCCAATCCTCCCCAACGAACGACGTTCGTGGGGAAGAAACGCGTGACGAAGCCCAAAGAGCGTCTGCTTGGGGGGGGGGGGGGGGAACTTTTAAAAACAGCGCCCACGGGAGGGGCAACCCCCCCCATGGAGCGCAGCGGGACAGGGGCAAGGGCCGGAGGGTAATATTTTCCCCCCTTGATTCTAGTCTACAACTCGGACACCCACAGGCCCCAAAAAAATTAACACGCGCTTCCTGTTTAACAAACAATCTTTACCACCACAGCCTGACTGACCCGCTGGGACCGCAACAGCCACCCGCCCCGCAAAGATGTCTGGGGGCGCGCCCCCCGCCCACCCCCCGACGAGGAGGGGGGGGGGGGGGGGAGGGGGGGGGGGAAAGCCGAAGGGGGGGGGGGGGGGGGGGGGGGGGGGGGGGGCAATTTTAAAATCAGGCGCTAGGGTAGTGTAACACTACCGCATGAGTCACGCAGGCAACGGGTCAAGAGCGCAAGGTTATAATTTGCTCCCTTTGATCTAATCTAACACTTGCGTATCACCAGAGGCTCAAAAAATTAGTACGCGCTTTCTGATTAGTCAAAGACCCATGGTTTCTTACATTGGCGGTAAATTCATAGAAAACGGCATGAACCCCAAACCGACTATTGAGAAGCAATCAATGATCTTGGATAAGCTCAAAAACAGTGGTAGAAAAACCGTAGTAATAAACAGTTCAACTTCAACTTAAATCTTGTAAAAGCCTTTGAACATAAATAAAACCATCAAGAAAATATCGTGTAACTTGTGGAATGGAAGTTTTTTTACATCCTTTTAACCTGTGAGTATAGCAAAGCCTTTCATCGCTCCTCGCATCACTGCCATTAACTACACCATGCACGCGCGCGAGTGGCTTTGGAAGATTGGGCATGCAGGGGGAATAGGCAAGTGGAGCCGCGAATTTTGAAAATTTTGTGCTCAATGTTTGAGGCTTATAACTTTGCTGGCATGCGTGCGAAGACACTAGTGTTCATGAAAAAGTAAAGAGCATCATTTCGGAGAAAAAATTACAATTAATACCATTAACTACGCGATTCTAATTTTAATTTCTATCTACGACGTCATTCACTGCCTTGTTTCATCACGACTTTGCCGCGCGCAAATCGAGTGCTTCAGCAGAGTGGCTGAACTTTCAATATGACACGTGTTGCTGCATTGCTTCCAAACCGGCGACGTAAAACAACCACACTTAATCATTACGGACACGTAAAGACCAAGCCACGTGATCTGCAAGCACGTGTTCTGTCACCAACTCGCCGTCACAACCCCCAGCCACTGGGCTTGGTTTATCAAAGTCCTCTGCAATCAAATGCTCAGGTTTGGCACTGGATTTGTGTCTGTTTGATTGTTTTCATTTAATAGAGTTTTATATAGAAGATCAATAAGAACGATAAGTAAGTCAATTACCTCCAAAGACCGTAAAGGTACCACTGTACAATGATGGATCCAGTTCCGCCTTGATTAGAAAGCTAAAGCAGCGACGTTTTAGAACCACGAACGTCAGACAAGAGACTTGTTGCACTCTTGAGCCGTGATTTTCAACAAAATTTTGGTCCTGTTGACGTGCGTTGCTCAAACCGTCACTGCTTAAACTCCCTTTGTAACAGAGCAGTTGTAAGTCCACTGCTTGGAATTGGGGTGTTGGGTGGGTGGGCGGGGCGAGGGCTGTGGGTACAACCGTATAGGTACATGCTGTAGGATAAAGTATGGACTATGATGAGCTATGTCCTTTAATAAGGTATTCCTTTTGGTAATGTTTAACCAAGGCCAGGAATTAAGGACCTTCGCAGCACACGCCTATCCCAACAGTGACCGGAGTATTCCTCGTGTTTACTGCTGGTCTTAAACGCTCCAAGTCATGCTGATGATCTTAACTTGTTGACTAAATCATCAAAACATTTTTAAAATCAAAAAGGAGTTGTCGCGAGACGTTATTAACCTCGTTTCCAGAGCTTTTTGTTTCGCTCTCATTTTCCAAGGGAAAAGCCCTGGGAACGCGATTGGAGACGTTTTAGCAGTAGGTACAGTCAAGTTCTAATCCTATTCATCAAATCGTACACAAACTACCGAAATTTTCTCTTATACATCTAGTAAACTAAAAATTAACTGCTTTTTACCTCAGGGCTAAGTTCTATACCCACTTCTCTTTTCGCATTATATATTTAAAATGACATCTGATATTGTTCGAACAAACTCCAAACTCAAACTCGCCTCATATATTATTTTTGCGACAAAATATTCTTGCTTTCTTGTGTTTACTTGATCCAAGAAACAAGGGAGGGGTTCCCAGAACGAAGAATGCTGACAAGCACTGACGTTTTTTTCAAACAGCCCTATGCTATATGGAACCCAGACTTCCGCCACACTCGTGCGAGATATTCAACACTTGTAGGACATTTGGGTGAGTTGATTTTATAATACTGAACAAAATAAGCCGATCATAAATGTCTAGATTCCACTTATTGTACATATTTTTATATTTTTCCTCTAACTTATTTTTTAGAGGGCCGTAGTGTAAGTTAGAAAACTGCAAAAGGTTATTAAGTCTCCCTCTTTAAATAAAGTTATTGTATTGTATTGTACTGTGGAATCCCGCCATAACGAAGACCCCGTTATAACGAAAAACATCTGAAAGCCCGGCAGAATTACGGTAAAATATGTGGAAACGAACCCCGCTATAGCAATAGATTTTGACGGTCCCAAAGCACAATTCAACCCACTGTAACGAATATTTTGTCCGGTCGCTCGCAGCAGTCAGTAAAAACGACAGATTTGAGTAGAAATCACAGCTTGCTTTGTCTTCATTGTCACCGCTTTACACTTACAGTTTACAGTATCAAATGGATAGCAAAAATGTTTTCTACTTGCAGTCCTCAATTTTTGGCAATTACTATTTATTAAATTACCGTGCTATAACGAATATTTTTCCTGTTAACCAGATAATAGCAAAGACCCCGGCGTTATAACGAACAATTTCTTCGGTACCTTGGCACTTCGTTATAGCGGGGTTCCAGTGTATTGTACTTATCAAGGGGCCTTCGTAGTTTGTATCCACTTCTAGACACCATCGTTATAATCCTCCCTCAGTTCTCCCCCTTCTTGACCATGCTGGGAGATCTGGCCACTAGAAAGCCCCTTCCACCTATCTCGTGCCTAGATTTCCCACCTACCGACAAACGCCAGTGAGATATTGGCCTCCCACGCTGACGTTCTTAGGGTGAACGACGAACCAAAAAAGCGTCTGTGTGAAAGGCTAGTGAGATCTGAGTGAGAGAAAAGTTTGAGATAACAGGTTTCAAATTATTTTCACGACACTCTCATGCACGCTCCGACGAAACAACTTGCTAGCCTACGCAGACTTGCGTAAGTTGACAACAATGAAAGTCAGAAGCGCGCGAAACGTCAAAAGGGCGATCTTACATTTGTATATCTTGATTAGAGGAGCTTTATGCAAAATGATCTAGTTATTACCAAATAAAATGAGTTTTGGGCATGCACCAATTCTCCAAAGTTTTATTCCTTCCCGCTATAGATTTGACAAACTTCTCTAGTGGCCCCATATCTCAAATGACTCCGTTTGAAGAGAGAGGTACGTCTGCTTATATAAACTCCTCAAAAATCAAAACTATTCCTTGGAAACGAAGTTTATTCAGTAGTCTTGGATTAATTCCAAGCAAAATCATCGCAGGCTTGAGGTCGTAAAGCTTTTTAAAAGGCCAGTATATATTATGTTACACTGTAAGTAAGTAGTAAGTTGCCAGCTTTCTTTCACAGCGTAAACTTCGCAGATGCGTCTTCATTATCTTTAGTACCGTAAATTTGTTGATTCCATTAAAAATGATTACCTGGGGATAAAAGGAAAACATACCGAACTAATGAATTATACAAAGCTGTGTTAGATATAAAGAATAACAAAAGCCATAAGAAGCATCGAGAGGAACCAAAACTGTCAGCTGAACTCATTGGTTTGTACATGTCTGTTTTAAGCTTTCTGTTAGTTGCTACGATAGAAGCTAACCTTATTCTAAGGTCCTAATCGAAGCCAACCTTCTCTTCTAATAGGGGGTCCACCGACAATTAACTATAGTCTCCAGTCCACTTCACGCTTTAGTTATAGAGACCCTTCCCAGTATACTTTGGGAGGAGGAAAGAAGTGGCCTAGCCATCGTCCCTATCGACCTGAGCCAGACGGTCCGGCCCTTGGTATAAGTAAGTGGAGTAAACACAAAATATGTGTTAAATTTCGCAGTTTGTGATTTAAAATGGTCTTCAGTGAAGTACAGGTTTGAACTGATGGAGAAATGATTGTTTAGTAGCTACTGCCATAGATGTGACAAGTTGACACTCCTGTTCTCTTTTTTCTCTCTTTTTAATATGTTGATCATCGACGCTGAATAAAATAGTAGCCATTTCTTTTCTACGTCAGTCTCTCAGGCTATGGCCACACTACACTGGAAATATAGCTCTTGCGAAGGCAAAAAATACAATAATTATTAGCAATTATTGAATGAGGCCGAGTAGGATATCAAGAATTCTGCGGATCGAGGAGGGTGTTATCCACCGTTATCCACCCTCCGAGATCTGCAGATTTTTTATATCCTACGAAAGCGAATTCAATAATTACTTTATTATTCATTCAAAATAATTCCAAGTTTAAATACAAGCTAAAATATGCATATGCTTACCTCGGTCGAAGTTAAGCTCATATCGATAGCGGGAAATTTAGGAGATAAAGCTCTGTTCAGGTCTGCTAATATACTCCAAATAGCAGATGTCGTTCGTCGAATTGTCTCCCTGCTGTTCTTGCCATGTTTTTAAACAATATTTCGCCGTGGAACGAGTAAAACGTTCGCTGACTGTTCACTACCAACAACTCAACCTCGTCATCGTCATCGGTTCAATATGACAAAATTCTTCCAAATTTGTTCAACAGTAGCTGGTTATGATGAATTATGCGTGTGCTTTTAGCCAATCAGAAACGGAAAAATATTTTGAATGAATAATAATAATAATAATCTTGCAATCGTTGTAAATAGGATTTTAAAAGTTAGCATTGTTGTCAATAAAATTTATTATTATTATTATTATTATTATTATATATCGGATAGGAATAACGTTCACTGAATCACAGATCCAAACGGTGATTTCGGCGCGTTTTCTTAACGGATCGCCGATCTTGAAAGTGGATCGTCACACATCGGATAGGTTTCTGTTTCACTCTTTAGCGCAGTGTGAGCAGATGTTCATACTACACCTTGATATAGCTTGCGAGCAAGTTCTCCTTTTCGAGTAAAGTGCTAAGCGAGCCGCGAGGGGCAGATAGTCTTTTTACCTGTTCCCTACCTCTTGCATATCGCGTCTCCTTTCGCGTTGGACTCTTGCGTGACTCCTCCCGACTCCCCTAAATGGAGAGCTTTCTTGCAGGCTATACTTGAGAACCTTGAAACTGGCAGTAAACTGAGCCGAGTAAAGTTTGGCAAGTACTTATGGGACTGTTGTCCCCAGTAACGATCCCAGAAACAATTGCGGCATTTATTTCGGCCCCGGTTCCCTTCACGCTGAAATGACGCACAATGCTCATCACGTTTTTGCTCTTTGGCCATAGCGTAATTTCCTTCGAATCGAGGTCCTTGATTTTGTGTATTTATACAAGCGTACTCAGCTCTACTCAATCAATACAGAAACAAATCATGGAATACGGTGTAAAAGTAGAGATCCCGAAGAATACTCGTCCGTCGATAAAGTAGAAAGTGAGAAAATTTTAGCGAGGAAATCCTGTTTCGTTTAGAATTATTCGCTTCTTCATTTATTTCTTATTTCATCTCCCAGTAGGCTCGACCTTACGCTTTCAAGAGCGTCTTGTTGCATTAAGTATGTCACAACTAAATGGACACCTTATCTCCAGGGCTGAATACCCTTTTTGAAGGAGTATTTTACTTTATGTTCGTTTGTTTCTTATACAGTTCCTCCGGGTCTCCCTCGGTTGTCAGAAGACAGAAATGTAGTCAATGCTCGCCAGGGAACTGAACAGGTAATTCCTGCAATTCCAGGCCATTATAACAACTATTGTACATGTGTTCCCCAGCTGTCAAACTACGCGTTAAGCGCGTTAAAATATCTTGAAGGATCAGGGGCAATCTTAGGAGTGATTTTTCGATGCACGCCGGGTTCTATCTAGGTCATTTGAGGGGAAGAAGTCCCCCCCCCAAAAAAAGGCCCAGATTTCCCCCAAAATATTGTTATCATTACAATATAAAAGTAACTATATTGGAAGAATCATCCAGACGCGACAAGGTCAATTCAGGTGAAGAAGGTATTACCTGTCTAAGGACACGACAAGGAACATGATCACGACAATAAAATAAAATAAAATAAAATAATAGTGCAACATTTCTCAAAATTGTGTCTCAAAATGCACCGGATTGCATCTCAGCACATATTCATTTCAAAACATTTCTGCTGGGGGCATTCCCCCGGATCCCGCTAGGAAGCTCGTGACCTTCAGCCACTCCGGCTTTCTCCCCCAAACTATAAATCCTAGATAGAATCCTGCACGCGAGGCACCTTGAAAAGAGAAAAGAAGCGGACCCAGGGGCATTTTTCTGTTGATCCTTCCCACGGCTCTTTATGTTAACATGTAATCATCCCATGTTCCCTTACGCCCACGGCCGTCCGTCTCTGAGGCAGGGCCATAGATCCTTTTAAAAAAGCCATTTGTTTGAAAACGCACACTTCTTATCTTTTCACAATTTAAAGATGTACTTCTACGTAATCCGGACGAAAAAGGAAAGATCAGGCCTGGAAAGCATTTTTTCACATCCATTCTTTAAACGATGTATGGAAGTTTTGCCAAAGTAGGCCAACATACTTCTCGATCTTGTAAAGTTTTAAAAGTTCCACTTAAAATCGCATTTCAGATTTCTGCTTATAAACTTGGTTCGATGAAATAGTTCTTCGAGACTGAAATGTTTTTATGAGTTTTGAGAAACGCCCTCCTGAGCTGAGTTGTTACTTCAAAAGGTGTGTTAGCTCTAAATCTGGGTTAACCGGAAACGGGGCGTGTAAGTTTGACTCTGAAACAGATGGCAAAATTAGCTGAAGCGTAAATAAGAAGGCAGAAGCGGGGCAATAAAGTATTGCATGTGGAAAGGTTTCATCCTCTGAGTATCGACATGCAAACTGCAGACACTACCACTATTCCAATTTTTTCTCGCGCCTTGGGCACGCTCGTTCTAGCACAGGTGACGCACACTCTGTGGGAGTTCGTTAAACTGACTTTATAAGAGAAATGAAAATAAGCAAAATACGTCCTAAATTCCATTTTTTCACAAAAATAGAAATAAAAACGACTCACCTCGTGGTTTTGTTTTGTTTCGGGTGAGTCATTTTTATCTCTATTTTTGTAAAAAAATAAATGGAATTTTGAGGTATTTTGCTTATTTTCCTACATTTTCTTATAAAGACAAAATCTAACGAACTCTCACAGATCCTGGGATTGTTCCAGTGTGCAATTGTAGGGTAAAAAGAGTTCTTGTAATAATCACGTGTACAACGTGGCTGCTCAGATCGATGACTGAGAGACGAGAACCTGGTGTGGACAAAAAGAAAAAGAAAAAAGAAAAAAGCCTGTCGACGAACAGACTTATTCACTGACTTGATTTAATTAAATGAAGAACCGAAATGATTTTGTTAATTTTTCAGAAGCCAGATAAACACGTTTGGAGCAACGCGGCCCTAAGAGAGGTGTGGAGATCAACAGGCCATCCAAACATTGGTTGTGAGCCTTGAAATATCATTTAGCAGGTTCAAGATACAGAGCTACGACTATCCTTTGATGTAGTTTACAGATGAATATAAATAAGGAATTACTGTACATCCTTTGTCGACGAAAACCCTTTGAAAGGCTTAACCAACTTTCTTCCCAATTACCCTGGGAATGGTTTAAGAATTATATTTTAAAAATTACACAAGTATATTTCAAAGTGAATGGTTATTCATCTTGTAAAAGGTTTATTTTATTGTAAAGCAAATCAAAGCATCTTTTTTTCATATGCACTTCTACGAGAATTCACATGTCAAAAAGAGCCAGTGAAAAATTAATCGTGATTTTTATTGACGTTTCTTAGGTTTTTCCATGACTTAGTTTAAAGCAAAAATGTTACACAGTTAATGTTCCAGCTGTTAATATTGGATGTGCATGGAAAGAGACTGACCGTTAAAACTAACTGTTATTATGCTCTTCCCGTGTCATTTCAATTAAGCAAACAAAGCAATAAAAAGATAAGTTAGCACTGTGCTCTTGAAAAGGGGAGGTTTTAAATTGTCTAACTTAGCTAAATCCCCAAATAAATACTGCCAGCAATAAGACACTAAAAGAATTAGATCTTTAAATAAGGTCTACAACGTTCTTTGAGTTCAAAACCCTCACTATGTCAAAAATATATGCCGCATTGAAAAAGAAAAACTAAAACAGAATCTTTACTTTTGTTGTGGCCTACCAAAAAGTAAATGCAGATTGTTTGTTCTGTTCATGACTGTGAAACTTGATTGCTGAACCTTTCGCTGATTGAATAAAAATTATCATGGAAGAAAGGAAGTAAAGTGTTGAATTTTGAGGCTGCTGACAAAATCTTAAGGTATGACCAGTCAAATACAGTCGAACCTCTCCAAAACGGCTACCTTGGGTACAGAAGAAAGTGGCCGTTGAGGAGAAGTGGCCGATATGGGGAGGTAAAGGTGTAACATGACACTGACTGTCAGCATGAGTCACATGTTCTAAGCATGCTCTAAAGAAGGTTCGTACACAAAAGTACGGTATCTTCATCTCAAATGAATCGAATCGACGCTCCAAATACCCTGCGTTCAAAAGGATATTTTTTCTTATCGATACTGGTGGTTCGCGGCCAAGCTGCGTCAAATCAAACCGTAAGCACGGGTTATTCCATATTAGGAATTTTGAGAACGGACCTCTGGAGCCAGGGTAGGCTCCAAACGGATCACATCAATTTTCTTGACAATTCTTGACTTTTTTGTCAGTGGCTAAAAAAGTAGCCATTATCGAAACGCTATTTCGACAGTTGGAGCGCATTTTAGTGGCCGTTACCATTGTAAAGAGGGGCTGTTATGCAGAGGTTAAACCAAGGGCCAATATATGAGCTGTCAACCGGGAAAAAAGAAAAAAATCCTTATTTTCCAAAGAGTTAAGTCCATTGTTTTTGTCAAAGAAAATGAAAAATTTTATCGTGTGTGTTTTTTGGTAATTAAAAAGAACCCATGAAAGATTGTTTTTTGATATTCTTTATAGGAAAAAAAATGCTGTTCACAACAAAAAAAAGGCAAAAACCATGGACCAACATTTTTGAAAAATTGGGTTTTTTCAAAGGTGTTTTTCCATGGATTTGGTAAGAAAATTTTCCATATTTTTTTCTTAGCAAAATAGGCAAGGAAAATGTGTTGACGATATTCTAGAAAAAAGCAAGCTTTTGTAGACTAAAAGAACAGGGAGTTCAAACAGTCGAAAAATGCGATTTTTCCCAAAATGTTAGTCCATGGTTTTGGTCAAAAAATTGAAAACTTACCATCTTTTCCTTTTTGGCAAAAGAGGGCAGTTAAGTGTGTTTGACGATATTCCAGAAAGAAAAAACCTTTTCTAGCCTATAAAAACAAGGAGTTAAGGTGGCTGAACACAGTTTTGGCAGTTTCTGAGTATAGGTCATTTGCCAAATTATGGCAAGAGAAAGGTTGTGGCTCACAAGCTGAAACTTGGCAAGTGAAAAATATTATGATGAAAGATTTTGACTGACAGGTTTCGTAGTTTCCATGGCAACATGAACGATTGAATACAACCTTAAAATTTCACTTTTACTCAGTTTACATAAAATTCGCTCATTAGATTTTCCTATAAACTCGCACACAGCTTACTATAATTAATCATTACTTTTTGAAACTTATTTGACCAAATTTTAACAGAGGGGTTTTCAGATAATCAATAATATAATTGTACTGTAATTATTAAATGTGTCAAAAAATTTGTCTGTTCAACTCCCATTTTAAAGTTCTCATTATTTAAAATACGATAAAAGTAAAAATTCTGCCAAATATCACCAAATTTTAATGAGTAGATTTTGAGAAATCGTCTTCTGTGTACCATTGCTTTTTTTTGTCGCCATGTTTGTTTGTCTAATTCAAAACATGCGCTACCGCTGACCACCCGCGAAACTCTGTTCAGCCACCTTAAACAAATCGAAAACTTTTTTTTTCAGAGGGGTTAATCCATGGTTTCAGTCAAAAAATTGAAAATTTTCCATCTTTTACTTTTAGGTATATTAGGCCAGGAAAATGTGTTTGACGATATTTTAGAAAGAAAAATAGCTTTCTATACCATAACAAGAAGGAGGTCAAAAACATGAAAAATTGGGATATTTCCAAACAAGTAACTCCAGGGTTTTGGTAGAAAAATTGAAAATTTACCATCTTTTTCTTTTTGGTAAAATAGGCCAGGAAAATAAGTTTGACGATATTCTAGAAAGAAAAAAACCTTTTCTCGACTTTAAAAAAAAGGAATTAAGCAAATCCGAAAATTGGGATTTTTTCAAAGGGGTTAGTCTATGGTTTTTTGTCAAAAAATTGAAAATTGTTCATCTTTCTCTTTAAGGTATATTAGGCCAGGAAAATGAGTCTGACGATATTCTAGAAAGAAAGAAAAGCTTTTCTAGACGAGTTCAAAAAATAAAAAAAAATGGGATTTTTCCAAAAGGGTTAGTCCAAGTTTTTGGTCAAAAAATTTTCCATTCTTTTTTTTTTTTAACAAAATAGGCCAGGATAATGTGTTTGACAATATTCAAGAAAGAAAAAATCATTTCCTACAAAGAAAAAAAGCTTTTTTAAGCTATTAAAAAAAAAGGACATGAAAAAGTCAAAACATTTGGATTTTTCCAAAGGGGTTAGTTTATTGTTTATTGTTTGTTGTTTTGTTTACCAAAAATTGTACAAATCAAATAAAATCTAATTACTTAAACTCTCATGGCGAGGAGGCCCAAGTTAGTCCATTCTTTTGGTCCAAAATTTAAATTTTCAATCTTTTTTGTTATGAATAATAGGCCAGGAAAATGTTTTCGACGATATTTCAAGAAAGAAATCAAGCTTTTCTTGACTATAAAACAAGGAGTTAATTATATCGTAAAATTGGGATTTTTCCTAAGGAGTTAGTCCATGGTTTTCACCAAAAAATTGAAAATTCTCCATGTTTTTGTTTTTGGCAAAATAGGCCAGGAAAATGTGTTTGACGATATTCAAGAAAGAAAAAAAAAGCTTGTCCAGGCTATAAAAAAGAGGAGTTTAAAACGACGAAAAATTGGGACTATCCCAAAGGGGTTAGTCCAAGGATTTGGTCAAAAAATTTAAAATTTTTTATCTTTTTCTTTTAGGCCAGCAAAATGTGTTTCACGATATTCTAAAAAGAAAAAATGCTTTTCTAGAGAGAAAACAAGCTTTTCTAAACTATAAAAACAAGGAGTTAAACAATTTTAAAAATTGGAATTTCTTTACAAGTGGTTAGTCCATGGTCTGGGTAAAAAAAAATTTAAATTTTCCATCTTTTTCTTTTCACCCCAATAGGCCAGGAAAATGTGTTTAAGGATATTCTAGAAAGGAAAGAAAGCTTTCATTCCTGTAAAAACAAGGAGCTCGAAAACTAAAAAAATTGGGATTTTTCTCGAGGGGTTAGTCCATGGTTTTGGTTGAAAACTGAAAATTTTCCATGTTGTTCTTTGAGGTATAAAAGGCCCAGAAAATATGTTTCATTATATTCTAAAAATAAAAAAATGCTTTTCTAGACTATAAAACAAGGAGTTCAAAAACTTAAAAAACTGGGATTTTTCCAAAGGGATTAGACCATGGTTTTGGTCCAAAAATTAAAAATTTTCCACCTCTTTCTTATGGGAAAATAGGGAAGGAAAATATGTTTGACGATATTCTAGAAAGAGAAAATGCTTTTCTAAGAAGAAAAAAAAACTTTTTAAAACTATAAAAACAAGGAGGTAAACAAATAAAAAACTTGGGATTTTTTTAAAGGGGTTAGTCCATGGTTTTGGTCAAAAGTTTAAAATTTTCCATCTTTTTCTTTTTTGGGGGAAAATAGACCGGGAAAATAAGTTTGAAGATATTCTAGAAAGAAAACAAGCTTTTCTAGACTATAAAAAGCAAAGAGTTAATTAAGCAGATCAAAAATTGATTTTTTTTCAAAAAGGCCAGTCTATGGATTTGGTCAAAAAATTGAAAATTTTCCACGTATTTCTTTTTGGCAAAATAGGCCAGGAAAATGTTTTTGACGATGTTCTAAGCAGAAAAAAAGCTTTTCTTCATAAAAAACAGAAGTTTAAAAAGACGAAAATTTGGGATTTTTCCAAAGGCTTAGTCCAGGGATTTGGTCAAAAACTTGACAGTTTCCATCTCTTTTTTTTTTCAACAAAGTGGGCCAGGAAAAAGTGTTTGACGATATTCAAGAACTAAAACCTGTTTTAGACTATAAAAAAAGGAGTTCAAAAATTTTAAAAATTGAGATTTTTCCAAGGGTTTGGTCAAAAAATTGAAAATTTTCCATTTTTTTTCTTTCTGGGAAAATAGGCCAGGGAAATGTGTTTGATGATATTCTGGAAAGAAAAAAGACTTTTCTAGACAATAAAAACAAGGAGTTCGCAAAGTTGAAAAAATAGGATTTTTCTGAAGGGGTTAGTACATGATTTGGTCAAAAAATTGACAATTTACCACCTTTCCCTTTTTGGTTAAAT